GGCTGAGATCTGAGGATTGCGGTTCAAAGCCAGCCTGGGCAGGAGAGACCGTGAGACTCCTATCTCCAATAAACCACCAGAAAACCAGAAGTGGCTCTATGGCTCAAGTGGTAGAGCGCTAGCCTTGATCTGAAGAGCACAGGGACTGTGCTCCAGCCCAGAGTTCAAGCCCCACGACTGACAAAAAAAAAAAAAAAAAGATAGCTAAGGGTGATTTTCTGTGTCATCTTAATATGCTTGGTGAATGCTGCATCATATGGAACAAATTTCTCTTATGAAAGATTTCCCAAACAATATATTTAATATTTATCAACAATATTTATGTTGATAATGGCCAAAGAATTACTTTAAGTATTAGAAGGAAGTCAAAGTATGATCAGAAACTCTGTATCTCTTTAAATTTAGATAATGGATGATGTTGAATTTTGACAAAGACTATCTCCACAACTATTGGCATAACTGAGTCATAAGAACAGTTGATTAAATATGCTATGATTTTTTGTAAAGTTATTTGTAAATATTTGTAAAAACTACTTATATGTAAAGCATTTTTATTATCAATGACAACACAAAAGAAATTTTCAATAAATGATAAATGATTAATCACTATTATTTTCAACTTCAAACAAAAATATATAGGGATGCTAGTAAATACATAGTCTATAGATTATAATGTGGACAACAAAATTGAATGAAAATTCTTTCAAATGACATTTATGCATGACAAGGCAAATTTTTGAAATACATTAAGAAATTAGCAGAACCTAAGTATTGAAAGATTTAGAATTTGTTTGAAATGAAAAGAATCTATTAGGTAATTAACTGCTAAAATAGACAAGTGGAGGTTTCATTTTATTAATTTACTTTTATTCTTGGCAGTGTGGAGTTTGAATAAATGGATTCATATTGTAGCAAATGCATTGTTATGTTCACACCCAGAATGCATTTAGGAAAAATGAAATAAAATTTATTAAAACATTTTGGACTGTAGCTTTGTAGTGACTTTATAAAATTATAATAGTTGGATTTAAACAATCCGTGTAAACTTGTACTGATGAATTTTAAAACAACAAAATATATATAAAGGAACTATAAAAATAACCTTTCATATCAGAAATAAATAAAAATTCAATTCCAAAATATAGAGTGAAAATTAGGGAAATTTTAATATTCAACTGAACCAGAGTTTATGGAAAGTCATGAACCCTAAATTTATCATCAAATTTTGCATACAAATTTTCAGGTGAGAAGTTTTACATCTTACAAGGGCAAATCAAACATGTACTTCATAATTTATTTTGAAGTATATTCCATTAATCAGAGGAATTGAGATAATTCAATGAAGAAGACTCGATATGCCACTTTATACATGGTCCTCAAATGTTTATCAGGTGCCCACGTAAGAGATACTACTGCAAGTAGATTTCAACTTGGAAAATTCACAGTATCTCAGTTCATAAGTGTTACGAAATGAGTGTTACAGCCATCTGTTTACTGAGACCATATTCATCCCAAAGCTTTTATTGAAAAGGTATCACAAATGTAACAGATTTTAAGTGAATACAGAAATTCCAAAAGTGTGTACAGGAAATGACACAAAGCCCATTTAAATTAGTCATATGCTTACACATAGTCATAGTTCTTCATGGAGAAAAGTGTACATAATCAAATAGTACATCTCTTACTAATTAATTTCAAAAGAATTTTCCAAATGGCCATCATTCAATGTTAGCATATACCATTTTTATATGAGATATTTATGGCAAAAGTTTATTGTAAATGAAAATTTGTGAAATCCTGGCATTTTCCAAATCTGCTATTTCTCACTTTCTGAGTTAAAATTTAGTGAAAATAATTAAAAAATACACAATAGAGTCGCAGGTACCGGTCATTCACATTCATGACAATAAGCTTGTCACTCAGGAGACTGATATTTTAGGATGGTTGTTCAAAGTCATCCCTGGCCAAAAATGAAAAAGAAAAAAAAATGTCCAGGAGACACCTATCTGCAATTAACCTCCAAAGAGCAAGAAGTGAAAAGCTCAGAGATAGGGCCCAAGTATTGAGGATAATCCTTGGGAAAGACATAAATAGAAAATAATTATATTGAGTTATATAGTTTTGATAGTAAACAGAAAATGATTTAAGTAATATCATGCTATTGAAAATTGAACAATATTAGGCATTGCTTAATTTTTTCCTTTCTACTACATTGAATTCATTATTGATTTTGTATAGAGACTAAAGATGAGATTAACATGAAATGATTTAAAATGGACAAATGTTCTGAATAAACATTTTCCAAAAAGCCCTGAAAAAAAAGAATTTAGACAAGCATATGAATTACAATATTAAGGAAACAAGATTCAAATGGTCAAGACAAGTCAAAGGGTTACTAACGTCATTGTACTTCATCCCTCATGTAATGTGTGGATCCTCAGAAATTAAAGTTTGCCTTGTGCCAGTGAGAAAATTTAAATCAGCAGTGAATATGCAAGAATTATACACATAAGAAATTATTCTAAGCAATAAAATTGTACAAAACATGGAAAGCTATATTTATCTTCTCCACAAGAGAATTGAGTATGCACTCAATTATGGAATAACTTATGACATAATTTAACAATTGTAAGCAAATAATTTGTGCTGTGCAATAGCTGGCCATATAAGTACATCATCTGTCATCAATACAGGCTTCTCACAATGAATTCTTGGAAATGTCTGTTACGGAAAGAGAAATGAAGAACAACTGAACATAAGCTAACCAAAAGGAATCACTTCTTTCCAACAGACCATGAAAGACTGATTTAAATGCTTCACATTGCTATCATTTTAGTTGCCTGGTGGGCACTCTCTTCTGCATGACTCGAAAGAAAGCATTTTTCACTTCCTTGTTTCTAAGACTATAAATGAGTGGGTTGAGCATGGGGATCACAATCGTGTAGAACACAGAAGCCACTTGATCCTTTCCCAGGGAGTAGGACTTCTTGGGTTTTAAATAGGTAAAGATCATAGTGCCATAAAAAACGGTGACCCCCAGCAGGTGGGAGGCACAGGTGGAGAAGGCTTTCTGCTTTCCTGAAGTAGACTTAATTTTCAGAATAGTTGACAGAATGGACACATAGGACATAGCTATTGTGATAAGAGACATCATTAGAGTAGCACCGGCAAGAACAAATATCATCATTTCAATTCCATAGGTGTCAGTGCAGGACAGAGCTAAAATTGGAGATATGTCACAGAAAAAGTGGTGGACGACATTAGAGTTGCAGAAATGCAATGTGCTTATGCAAAGAACATTGACAGAGGAATCCAAAAGGCCAGTTATATAGGATCCAGTGAGCAGAGAATAACAGAGTCTTGAGGACATTATTACAGGATACTGCAGAGGTTTGCAGATAGCCACATAGCGATCATAGGCCATTGTGGAGAGCAGAACACATTCTGTAGCAGCAAATAGGACAAAGAAGAATAGCTGGGTGAAACAGCTCACGAAGGAAATGTTCTTGGTGGAGGTCAGTAACTTCTCTAAGGTTTTAGGGGTGATGACACTTGAGTAGCTGAGGTCAATGAATGAGAGGTGAGTGAGGAAAAAATACATCGGGGTGTGAAGCTGGAGATCCAGGCAAATTAGCAAGATCATGCCTAGATTGCCCAGCACAGTAATCAGGTAGATCAGGAGAAACAGCGCAGAAAGGGTCACCTGGATCTCCCCAGAGTCTGTCAACCCCATAAGGATAAAGTCGGCTACCTTTGTGTTATTCCAGGTTCTCATTGTGTGCTGACAGTTGAAAAATTAAAAGTGATGCTTAGCCTAAATGACTTAATATTATTACTTCCATGAATCACCAATGTCTCCATAAATACACTATATCAAGTAAAATATAATAGTGTATTGATACAACTGAAAAATGCAACTATATATATATCTATATCTGTAAAGTGACACTTACTTTAAAAAGTTTATATACTTCATAATCAGAACACACCTGATTACTTGGCCAACAGTTTTGCTAATGTATTTAGTCTATAAATGCTGTGACATTATAGGTATTAATATTTTCTAAGAACTTTAAGTTAAGAATTACAATGTCATAGGTTTACCTTACTTACCTGATTTCAGTGTCATTATGTATAGACATATTCTGTTATGTTTCTTTGATATACAAATCAAGCTGCCAATACTGGTCAATTGGATTCCTGTATAATTATTTTATTGCAGTTAACCAAAATGCTACATATACTATGAGTATAGATAGAAAATGACTTTATTGGATTTACTTTTGTGTTGGCCATATTAATTAAGGCCTTTAAACAAACAAATTTTAGTGGACTTCTGTAGGTAGAAATAGGTAGCATTATTGAATATCAATCATAATTCCCAGCTATGTAATGCTTTCTTAAGTGGTCTTAACAAACAAAACAATTTTATCTAAAATCACACTAAAGTAGACTGGTGATAGGCTTTGAATCCTTAACTCCATACTCTCTCTCTATTTATACATATATAATATGTACATATATACGTATATTAAATAATTCCGATTGTTACAGCAAGGCCCAAATGATATATGCATAGACGCTTCTATAACATAGACAGTTTCTTTTCATGTGATGTTAAATCTTCAGGAACATTTTCTTTAAGATGATGAAATTTAAATTTATTAAGTAAAATCACAAGGAACAGAGATAGCATCCAAAGTATGAAAGATGTAAATCCCGGTGTAAATCACTTATAAACATCACCCTTAGACTTAATTAATCATTGACTTCTTTCCATTCACAGATTTATTTGCATAAGTTCGTTTTAAAATGGGTTTCATTTTGACAAGTCCATACATCCATGCAAAGTGGAATACTTACTCTTGATTGGTGAATGGAAACTTCTAGAGTGAAAGCCAAGGAATTTGTGAAACCTTAGGTTTATTTTTTAAATAAATCAAATTGAAATCCTACAAGGTGCTGACCTTCTCTGCAATATAATATTTTCCTTTCTGTAGGTATTTTTATTATTTTGTGCATTCATTATTTTTAGCCTAAAAGAATCCAATTGCCTGAGAAATTTTAATAAGATTGCTCAAGTGAAACTGTCACTTTGAAGGAACATCTCAAAAGCAAATTCAAGGAGCAGTTGTGAACATCAGAAGTGTGGTGTGTGCCTCATCTCTCCGCTTCATATATCCAGGGCGCTCACTTAATGGGTGATCATTTAATGGGCATGGGGATCATACAACATTTTGTGATCCTCAGTGACCAATTCATAAACATATTTCTTGGCACATGTTCAAGGACAAAATTAAAAGACTAAATAAGCAGAAATTTCGCTTTTTACAAAGAAATTCTACAATGAGGAACAGAATAACAGATGTTTTTTTCTGATGTAATATTTAAAGACAGTATTTATTTTAGTTTGCTAGCCACATAATTAAAAATTGCTGCATACCTGTCAAATGAAGAGATTTTTTGAATAATGTGGACAAAATTTTAGAGAAATAGTTCTTGGGACTGACACCCTCCAAAATGAAATGATCTATATTTCATACGGATAAGTGTTACAATAAAAAGTATAATACTATCATAAATAAAATGAGATCATCTGTAACTGTAACATATATGTATATTTCAAAAAGTTAAAGTAACAATTAGCTGATCAATAATG